CGGTTGGCAGCCATATCTTGTAGTGTCTCCAACCAGGCACAGTGAGGATCACGCGGTCCCCATCCTGGAAGGCGAGTAGCACCGACAGCACCCAAGCGTTTCGTGATCTCCTTCATACTCCTCTGCCAAGTCATGGGTTGGCCACCTCTCTGTTTACGCCACTCCGAATTGGGCATGGAAAACAGTACCCCCTTCGGTAAACGATGGTTCGGCATACGTAGAACATGTCCCAACCAACGCAGCTTCTGGTGCTAGACACATTCTTCAATGGACTACACGTTATTGTCGAACACCTGAAGACGTCTCAGTTTGTGAAACTTCCGCCTCTCATAATGTTTGTTGAATACAGGATAATTTGGACACAGTCATTCACTTTGCATCAAAGACCACTTTATCGCCACACGTAACAACTTGAAGAGGGACCCTACTCAACAAATGTATTTGGACCGTCTGTCCTGTAAGAAATCAGACGAAACGAAACGTTCAATGAACCCTGTATCCCATTAAAGTTCAATTGTAAATGGCTTGCTAATTTCATCAGGTGACATTCTCTTTTCGCTTATGTTAACGATAAATAACTTTTTTCCTTCTGTGAAGACAGGAAATGTTGAGTGTTGAACGTGGATCACACCTGCAAATCTAAGTCTACTCATAATATTCTCAAGACCGTGAAATCGTGGAATACGTGTACGAATGTATTCCACACACCATTGTATTTGGTTAGCGGTTCTATCGTATTGGCACTGCAGTTCTTACTATATGCTAAGCGGTTATAATTGCACTTTTCTCTAAAAGTTCCATTACTGTCCCTTGATAAATCCTCAAATAATTCCACTGAACATTTCCAAACTACAATTCAACCCAAGAGATTCACCTTACCACAAGATGCACTAGCGATATCTCGAGGTAACACAAAATTGGTGCTACAGGTTATGATTCTGGACTGATAATTCCAAACCTCGTTCTCTAGCCACGATCGACTGACTTTGGTTTGACAATTAAACCTGTAACCTGCAGTGGACCGCAGGTGGATCGCAGAAGAAAATTAAAAAAAGTATGAGCTTCGTAGAACTCGTTTGTCGACAGTGCTATTAACTTCAGGATGGCCAAAACGAAAATGACGGTAGGAAAATACCGTTCAAGAATTTTGGCGGCTGGGAAACTCTTTCAGCTATTACGACGGGGTTTGAGCAACATAGGAAAACTGATCTGCATAGGCGCGTTTCATATCATTTTCGTGCAAATATAACTGATTGTCTTACCCATGTTTTCTGTTTTTAATTATGAGGAAAGTGTATATGAAGCGAAAGTTAGTCAGTGATCAAAATCGAAAATCGTTTGGGCATCGCAGGACTTACAGTATACAAATACAAATAATACGGCTGCGCATCATGTGTAACAGAGCCGTGCGATTTTACCCCCACGTCTGAATCACGTCCGATTTCATCATGTGCCGGATAAAGGTCAAATAGGGACACAGTAAGTTCACACCCACTCCATGGCCAAGGCACCCCGTACACAAGCGTACAGACGGCCATCTATGATCAACCGAGACGAAGGAACATCCGCCCGAGAACCGGTGTGGACGTGGAGGAGACACTGGTTGGTTGACAGTGGATCGACTATCAAATACGGTCACAAGTGAATCATATATATAAGTTTGTAATTGCGTTAATACACAGTTCCTTCTGGTCGCCTTCTTGTCTTCTGACTATAACCCAGTAGCGTCAGCGCAGGTGAAGAGATACAACACAAATCCATCAAATTAGTATAACTGAGACAAATGAGATAACAGTGGGTGATCACTTCATTGGGATAGCTACCGCTAAAATAAATAGACGAGTGACGATATATCACAATCGGCTGGGCAGTAGACCACACTGTTCTACGGGACGGGGGGATTTTGGCCTGGTTGAGTGAAGTCTTCTACGGGCGCTCGCATGAATGATTTTCCTTTCAACCGATCATCAGCGACAACATTTTTTTCTAGAACGGTGTTGATATTTTAATCCGTTTCAAGTAAACCGTGTTACAGATGCAATGAGCGATCGATTGGAACCCGGATTTTTCCTCGACTGGACACTCGAAGTTAGGATATGAATGCGAAAACACGTTTAAGTCCCTTGGTTCTATTTACAATCAAGCGGTGCATTCCCTTCCAAGCGTATAATAGTCGAATGGGATCAAGATCGATTCGAGGTCAAAGCGTCTCCCACATTAATAGCATAGTGAAGCACTGAGTGTAACTATTCCGTTCACTTTCCCTTGTGCATCATGGGTTTGACTGTGTCCTTCTAATTGCCGTGCACTCGTGTAAAAACAAAATGGGCGTAATTCGTTTTGGCACCTCTAAGTAATCCCGTTGGCTATTCACAAAATGGCAACTAGGGAGGTTTCGTTACATGCCACTTGTCAGCTGTTTCTCTCATTGTTGCTACTGTTCATAGCAATTACCTGAAGTTAAATACATGCTCCCAATATCCCCCGGTTTACGAAACAGTCAGTTTTTTTTTGGCGAATCCTGAGTATGCGTGCTTCTCAATGCATCTCGACTGGGAATAATGTTTTTCTTCAATATTACGCAAGTGACCAGACTACTAGGCTTTCCACATTAGGCATCAACTAAGTAATCCCAGCATGCGAAATAACGAGGACGCGCTGGTCCGCTTGTTTCTGGGCGGATCGCTGACCTTGTTGACAATAGTACGGCCATTATTATTGTCATCATCATAGGTGGAGTCGTTTTGATGATGGCAACTCCCAACTTAGACTATCCAGTTAATTCAGAAAGCTTCAGATCAAACAGAACAGTATCCATGTCTCTGCTTTCACCTTGAGCTGAGAATGGTCGTTATCCTCCGTATCGAAACATCAAAGCACTCTCTGGCACAGTCACCTTCATCGTGTGACTACACAATCAACACGCTCGATCCCTCTCTGTGTGGAGAGAATAAGCAATCCGAGATTTTCGCGTAAACATGGCTCACCCAATGCTGAAGATAAACAGAAAAAAACCAATACAAACGTGAGCTCATCGAATATTTGTAAATGAATCCTGGAACATTTTAAAGATTCCTAGGACAAACATACCGCTCTGACGATGATCAGTCACTGCTTCAGCACCGACTGGATTTTCCTTCCGAAGTAAACTACATCTACTATTGTGTGAAATCTGTTCGCTATTTACAGCGTTCGAGCTGTAGGCGTACCAACTGCGAAATACCAATAGTTGACGCAAACTTGTCTCTGAAATTTTGTCACGTGTTCAAATGATTTCACTAAAGCTGCTCGTTTCAAAAATGTGGCGGAACAATGCTCGGATTCTACACGAAACGCTTCGTGGTTGAATGCCTGGTCTACATACACCAGAAGCTGCCAGCTGCAGAATCTTTCAATATTCCTCGACTTTGCCCGGCAAGCAAAATCCCATAGATCCGATGTGAACTGATTTACAGCTAGCACTTTGATTGGCTGGAAAAATTAAACAGTAAGCCCCTTTTCACCCTTGTTTTGTTTCACCAGTAGTGCGCATCTGACGTCTGTCTTGATAGATTCAAATTTTGAGCCCCATATGAGGGAATACATGCCTACTTTCAGTCCATCTGGCTTGTGAAATTTTCTGTGCAGAACTACCACACTATCCAGGTAGTGAGGGAAAGCCGGGATTAAGCAGTTTACTAGAAGAGAAGTGTGGTATTCGACTGAGAGATTGCCACTCAACTAATCAGTCAAAGACAGACGCAAACTGGTTTACTGCAGCGCTATGGTAATCTGCCCTAGCCATGTGAAAATGCTGACAGATGATGAATAGGTAGGGGGAATTGTGTTCAGCAAACAACAGATTTGCGAGAGACTTCACGTGTAAGTTCAAGAATATTACAAGTATGGCTAGAAAACCCGGGTTTGCGTCTACTTAGATTAGTGAATTCGGTATTAGGTTGCTGAATAGTTTTCAGCGACCTCAGAAGTGCTATCCAGACAGTGTGCTACGGTATCTCGAATATCGTTCAATATGAAAAAGAGGTAGACTTTGTGCACACCAGAGTTTCGGCATGGGTTTGACCAGTTCTCCTTTTAAAAGTGAATTACTTTTAAGAAACCTGTGCATCACTTCTTAAGTTTTGAGATCAAGTTCCCCCACTTTCGTAGTATATTCTCAACCGACTTTATTAAAACTCAAAAAGTGACACTTTATGCAAAAATCAGCCTCAAACGACATCAAAAATACGAGTAATTCAGCAACAGTGAGGTTACATACAGGTCATCATTCTTATCTTGCAAGAGGCAGGCTACATGCCCCAAAATGAAAACTTTTTAATTAGTGGCGGCGTATTTCCATGAGCAACCTTGAACTACATAGGTGATGCGCTTCTGGTGAGCTTCATGGTTCATCAGCCAGCTAATTTCAAGTGTTGTGCCTACTTAAGACATAAGAAATTCGGGAGCAGCTTCACGCGCGGAAAAACACAAAAACCGAGGCAAAGTTAAGCAAAGTCCAATTTATGGTGAAGCTTTTGGCACACAAACTTTGGATTGGTTTGCCCAAGTTTTGCTCTTTTTCCGCTGGGTTCGAATTTAGATTTAGGGCAATTATGATATAGATTACCAAGTCAAAATTGAGCTTTCTCAAATCTACTGAGGCCAAAATTTTGGCTAGGGTACACCTGCCTGGTACACCTTCCTGTGAGGCAGTCGCATGATCGTCGCTTCAGTCACTTTTGCATCTTACAAACTGTTCTGTTGTTATATATAATGAATACTAGTTAGCAAGCAGGCGTAAACGTCGTATTTGTATATATTTTATGTCGTTCCGACTGCGGTTTGGAGTTGTTGAGCCCAAAAACGAACTAATCGGGAGTTTGAAAAACAACAAAATGGTCGGAAATGCATCGAACTCCAGTAGCAAAGCAACAATTTATGCATTTTCTGAGCTAGTTTTTGGTTGGTAAGTTTCCCTTGATTTTCGTGAACGTTCCAAGAAATTGTCAAGTTTGTCACCCGCTTGTAACGCAGATATCACATAATAAACCGTATACGTACCCCAGTTGTGAAATTCTTTTTCGTCTGGTGAAATAAAGTGGAAAATATTTTGTCATTATTCTCGATCTGTCGCAGACTTTCTGGATAGATTTGAGAATCAGATTGAGCATCGACGCTATTGAGAGATTCATCTTATTTGTCCTGACTTTGGGAAGGAAACCAGCGGATACGCAAA